TAGGAGAATTTCAGAATGTACTAACCAACATGGTACAATTTAAACATTTTTGCTAAAGATCTCATAAAACTCGATATGATTTTCCTGGTTAACCTAGTTATCTTTATGGCCTGAGGTGGCTCAAAAACATCCAGAGAATCCTATGGTCATTTATACAAATGCTGTACAGAGTGCTTTTTGCCACGTGATAGATAAGCCTCTAGAACCCTTCAGCTACGCGTTGCCATTTATCTGAATTTTTAAGTTCATTGGTTTGGAAACATTGCACTACAGTAAAAGTTGGATGACATTGCCCCAGCCATAAGTAGAAATTTGATTTGGGAGGATGGGAATATATTTGTTAGAATCAAAATGCTTCTAGCTCTAGTAGAAGTTTGATCTAAGTAGACACAAGTCAAGCAAGGAATTAGATGGATTTATTTAACAAAACTGGCTATGAGAAGTTTGGGAAGAAGGAAGTCCTGTTTCAATGAATTACATGCTTCTGTGCTAAGGCTATAGGTAATGCTGGTATTGATGGTCATGCACTGTACAATAGATGTAATTCTAAGAAAGTAATGTAAATTGCTGTACAAAGCTGGTGCAGGTTGAGATTCTTTCAGTTCAAGGCAACCTCCTTAAGGCTTAAGAACTGGAACCATTTTTTAAGTGCCCCTCCCCCAAGGTGGAAAGCTTCAAGGCTTCCCCTCGACCCCCAAAATGCTCACAGGAGGTCCTGCCAGACTGTCCGGTTAAGCTCCTTCCCTGTTTGCTGGTGGGCGGCTGACCTCAGTGTAACAGACATGATGCGGTGACCTTTGCAGTGACGTGAAGATGGGTGTAGAGCAGAGACAGGAAAATTGCCCACAAGGTAGTTAGTCACTGGTGCCACTTGCCTTGGGAGAGGAGAGGCCCTCTTAAACCCTAGGAGCTCTGAAGCGTTAGGGTTAGCATCCTGTCCTCACTGGTTGGAAGAGTAGTGCCCAGAGAGTAAGAAAGCTGCAACCTTCCTTTTTTTCTCTTAATTTCTAGCCAGGGGAGTTTATTTCACGCAGTCTGCATCCCATGGGGCTACCCAGCATGTATTCAATATATATATTCAATATATATATTAACCCCTTCAGTTACATGTGTGCATCATCAAGAGAGCAGGACAGTTTCATTGATTCCCTTTTGCTTTTGAAATCCCGATGGGGGATGTCATTTGGGACAAATGTCGTCTTTATGGCTTTATTTTAATGCCCTGCAAATAGCAGCAGGAGGGAGTGGAGCTGCAGGGTCTGCCAAGACTCTGCCATCCTCCCCATGCTGAAACCTGAAGGGCAGAGCAGAGAGGTGTGATGCAGGGAGGCCACAGCGGATCCTCCATCTGCTTTTCCCTGGTGTTGAACTTCCCTGCACTGGTCCTGCATTGCTTAGAGCAAGCATAAACTCATACGAGGAACTTGGCAAGAAAGGCCCTTCAGCTTGTGGGTGGTTTCTTCACACTCACAAGTTGGATCCATCAGGAAAAAACTTGTCACAAGTAAATAGATAATTTTCTCAAAAAAGCCCCAACAAAAACAAAAACCCACAAACACAACAAACAAACAGAAAACCCCAAGTCCCACTTTTTTCCTAATACAATTTTTCACTGGGTTCGTAGGGATGTCTTGGGCTTTTTCCATCCCAAGGTAAGAACTCAGGAAGTTTAAGTTCCTTGTGTTTCGTTCTATACAGCAAAGAAGTAAAAATGCACAGGAGTGATTACGGGCAGCTGAGATAACTTACACTAAAACTTAATATTTTATTGTTTTTTCTCCAAGGTGGAGGAATATTAGTGTTACCTTCTGGATAGTTACACAGCTGAAGTTTTTGACTGAATAGTTGATTCGTCTGTATTTCAACCTTACTGACTTTTGGACTGAATCCAGTGAAATAATGCATTTCATGTGATGCACTGAAAATACGGGGTTTTTTACTTTGGGGAAGGGAGGTAGCAGTTGCCACTGGAGTGCTTTTCTAAATCTACAGCAATCTAAGCTAGTTAAGCATGGATGATATCATTTCAGTCAGCAGTACAAGATAATGTCCATCCTGACTGTAATGACGTAGTTGTCCTTTGCTTCCATTGGATCTATCTCAGAGTAATATCATTTGTCAGGGTAACGTCTCAGATGATGAAGAAATTCTGTACAGAGTGTGTGAGCAAGTGAAGAGTCCGTATGAAATTTCATCCCCCCCTTAGTGTTTTGCATGAGCTCTTTTTGGTTAGTGTTAGATGTTCTGAGTTTTGTAGAGAAATCACACAGATCACTCCTGCACCAGTGCAGGCATGGGGCAGATGGATCGGTTCTGCAAAGGTACAACGTGCCTCTCTTCAGGACTTAGGAACCACTCAAAGCACCTCTTCTTTGTACAAGTGTTTAAGGGGAGAAAAAAAAGGAAAATAAACTCCTTGTATTGCCAAGTTAATTTCCTGAATGAATTTCCTCTACGTTCTTGTGTGGTGTGTGCTCCAAGAGGTGGTGGAGCTTAGGGAGAGGTACTGAAGCACTACAAGTCCAGGTCGCTGGTGCACAGTGTAAAGCGGTGGCTTTTAAGTGCTCCTCATGAAGCCCACTTGACAAGCGCTGAGAATGCTTGTTTGGCAGTAGTGTGCTTTGCTGCTCTGCGCTATTGCTGGCATTTCCACTTCTGCCTGGGGTCAGCCTCAGCCTGACTTCCTTTCTTCTCTCCTGCACTGGCAGTCTTCCTGTCCTGACCATCAGTAGTGCTGGAGGTAGAACCAACCAACCGCTTGGTTTGGTTGCTGGATGACAGTCCCTAGCTTACGTGGGCATCTCTGCAGAGTGCAGAGCAACTTAAACCTCAGAAGACAAGAAAAATGAAGATAAGCTGAAGTTGTTGTCAGCCAAATGGATGCCTTGGTTATCTCCTCCTGGTGGTTTGGTTCTTTCCATCCTTGGTCTTGTTTCTTTACCTTGATTTGGTCTAGTGTGGGGCTAACATTTTAAGTTAGCCTCACTGCCAAAACACTGCTCATTTCAGCTGAGTCCGCCTTTCTGTCCATTACTGATTCCAGGGTGTAAACTAGACTATTCCAGGGTGTAAACTAAACTAGATCCTGCCCTGAGGAAGAAGAGGAGGAGTTAAAATTTAAGAGCTGCTGTGGGCACGAGTGCTGACTAACGCTTACTATCTTGAGTACACGGAAATCAGTTTGGACCTTGTCTGATGAATGCCACCGCTTTTTTTTTTTTTCCATATAGAGCGATACAGAAGAATCGAGAAATAAATGCGTTTGCCTAAGATAACATTGTGTGACAGTTGAGAACAATTAAGACTGTTACTTGCAGCTATATTTTTTTTTTCCTTCCTTTCTACAGTAGGAGGGTGGTGTCTCCAGCTCTGAGTAGTTGATACAAGGTATTTGTCACTGGTCTGATCTTATCTAGAACAAGTATCATACAAGGTTATTTATTTTACAGCCTTTTCTCCTGGTTTTGTACAACACACAGATCTTGGTAGATGGGAAAGGATTTTTTTTTTTCTTACTAGCGTCTCTTTGGCAATAAACACACGCCTAACTGTAAGAGAAAAAACTTTCACAACTGAGCTTGTTTTGTGAAGACCAAACATTTGTGACGCTTACAAACCCTCAAACTTTGCATAATGTGCCCATCCTTGGTCTTAAACATGAGGTGGCAGAAGAGGGAAGTGTTACTTTTTTTAACCAACAACTTATGACTGTGTCAACACATGACAATTTGTCAAAGCTTGCTGTAGCGGTGCTGTAAATTAATTTTTAGCATCGCTTGTGAGTGGTAAACACTTTGTGCAGTGTGAACAGCTCTTAGTACAGTGTGAGTTGTCAGCAGCTTGTGAGCTACCCTAAAAGAAAAAAGGGGGAGGAAAAAAAGAAAAAAGAAAAAAGGAGGGAAGGATAAAAGCGCTTTTACTAGTACGAAATGGATCTGAGTCTGCAAAAATTCAACATGTGGTGGTATTTTTCTCTTCTTCTTTGTACCAGTCAGCTTGACCTTGAAAATTTAGGTTTTCCATTAATAATAATAATCAACTGCAAAGCTGGGAGATCGCAGCTCTCCAGCCAGTGCACCACATAGTGCCTGACAGCAAACAGATTTCTCAGACTTGTGGCTGGGTGAAGTAGCATCCTCTCTTTGGTCTTGCCTGTTGCCTTTGCTTGCTTGCTTTGAAAGCGGAACGTGTCCTGCGATGTGAGCATGCTCCTTTGTCAAAAAGTCTCACATAAAACATAAAATGCCTGGGGAAAAAAAGATGGCAGCCCAAAGAGGAATGATGGGGGCCGAGTACTCTCTCTTCCTCGCCTGTCCCCTTGCTGTTTCTCCTTGCCTATCCCAGCTGCTGTGATGGAGGTGGCAGTGATGGTTCACACGATGGGAGTCGACATGACGGAAAAAAATTATTTGGTATGAAAAGCTAGGGAATATATATTGTAGAAAACAACTTTTCAGATACAAACCTATTTTAATCTGTCACTTTAGCAGAACAGGCAGTAATAACCTCCCAACCTAACAATGACTGTTAAGTTGAACATTAATTTGCTCACTCGTTGAATTGCTAACATGTCTACAGCTTACAAGTGAACACCCACTCAAGAGAGAGAAAAAAGGAGTTGGTGCCTGGAATTCCTGGCCTTGCTGAATTCACCTATGTTTTTTGGCGCTAACTCCAGCATTTCATCTTGCGTTTCCTGCAAATGCTTTAAGTAGAGCTACATGAGAAAAACAGCTGCACGTGTTTGTTCGCTGCTTTGATATGCTCAGCATGGGTTTTTTTCTCGAGCACAGTCACTCTCAACTTCAGCACCCTAGGCAGGCTTTGACTGTGTCTTGGACCTTATTCCTGTAACCAAGCAGCGCACGTGAAGGTTGGCATGAGAACTTCATCAAGTCCTACTAAAGCTAGTTATAACCTGGTTATGGTTTTAAAAAGAAAGATGACTTTTTTTTTGCGTATTTACTCACAAAGAATTTTGGTTTTATTTCCTTTTCTAGATATAACTGTAGGTGCTGCTTGTATGAAAGAGCTGAGCCACACCATCCAGTAAACTGTCTTGAGCAGCAGTTGGCTTGCTTGGAAATCGCTTCTAGGACTGTGCTGTAAGTAAGTATTTTTGCAAAAGCAGCATGGAACGGTTTCTTCAGTTCAGGGGCATTTTTTAGATCTTTCAATTGTTCCTTAAACTTTCATAGTTTAACATCTAGTAGACAGTAGCAATGCACGTGGGACTGTGAGCACTCCCATATCTGAAGCATAGAGCTAAAATCCTTTAGAGGCTCTTTGCTGACTTGCTCTGAATCTCCATGATACAGTGCCTGAACGCTTCTGAAAACAGGCAGCTACATATAAGCCTAGAAAGAAATTTGCCAAAATACATATTGCTCTATTTTGCCATTCACTCTGTGGCATACATGTCTTCTGAGTGTTCACCCCTGCCTGCATTTTCACACTTCAGCATTTTAGCTATGCTGGTATAGTCCTGCTAGGGCAAATGCTTTGTGGAGGTATTCCAGAGGCATAGACTGTGATCTGCCTAACTCAACTCAAAATATTCCATGGATAGGTGTCCTAACTGATCAGAAAGGAGCACTGGATTGTCTCTTTGGACATGCTGTTGGTATGGCTAGGGAACATCAGTAAGCTGTGCATGGCGGTGAGTTTGGTCAGCTGCATCTGTCTCCATTACGAGTGCATGTTGATCAAAAAGACCCCATTTGAGGTTAAAAGCTGATTGCATTGAGTATGGCATTGAGAACGTGTTTGCACTTAAAATGAATGTCATCCTTCGAGGTGTACACCAAGGAAACCTCATCATGCCATTTACACAGTTCCTTTGAAAACATAATCCATTTGGGGATGTTTGTGACCTGAAATTTTATAACTATTGTATTTCTTTTTATATTACCTTCATTTTTTTTTTGCTGCTGCTGGTGCTGCAAGTTATGAGAAGTATGATACAAGAAGTATTTATGACTTAAGTGCATTTCTCTTGAAATGGCATGTGATAATACAGTCGCTTCAGAGAACAAGGGTGGGGAGGGTTAGTGACCTAGGGTTCGAGTCACTTAAACACACAGGCTGCTCACACTGCTCAGCACATTGCAAAATATTCCCTTCAAGTTACATTTGCTGTACATAAACTGATCTTTTTTTTTTAAAAAAAAGCTAATTCCAAGACCAAGTCCTTCAAAGCCAATGGTAAAGCAGTTGAGTCAGTCTTTTGGAATAGGTTTCTTGTTTGCGGGTCTGTCTTCTGTGCGGTTGACTGACGTGCCTGGGTCACTCTCTAGGTGAGGTTGTGCCAGACAAAAATCCTTGCCTCAGCTCTGCCAGGAGTAACCTGCCAGATGCACTGACTGCCATTTCATCCTTGCTCTGCACCTACCAGACCTATGGGGCACTCAGCCTGATTCTGCATGGGTGGATGTGAATGAGATGAAAAAAGGACCCGATTGTTGTTATCAGCGTGGGACACCTCAGCTATGGCAACCGAGTAGAGAAGAGCGAGGGAATTGCTTGGGTTTAGGAAAGTCTAAGCTCTAAGAAAATTTACAATTAGAAATTTAGAACAAGACTTTGTGGCATCCTCCCTGAAAATGATCTGCCTGCTTCTGGAACTTACGTCCTGACCCAAGTCACTGTTGCTTTCATAGAATCATAGAATCATTTAGATTGGAAAAGACCCTTAAGACCATTGAGTCCAACCATAAACCTAACACCGCCAAGTCCACCACTAAACCATGTCCCTAAGCAACAAATCTACACGTCCTTTAAATAGCTCTAGCTCCAGGAGTGGTCACTCCACCACTTCCCTGGGCAGCCTGTTCCAACGCTTGGCAACCCTTTCAGTGAAGAAATTTTTTGTAATACCCACTCTAAACTTCCCCTAGTACAACTTGAGGCCATTTCCTCTTGTCCTATCACTTGTTACTTGTGAGGAGAGACCAAGACCCACCGGGCTTCACCCTCCTTTCAGGTAGTTGTAGAGAGTGCTAAGGTCTCCCCTCAGCCTCCTGTTCTCCAGGTTAAACAACCCCAGTTCCCTCAGCCACTCCTCATAAGATTTGTGCTCCAGACCCTTCACCAGTTTCATTGCCCTTCTCTGGACACGCTCCAGCACCTCCATGTCCTTCTTGTAGTGAGGGGCCCAAAACTGAACACAGTACTGGAGGTGAGGCCTCACCAGTGCCGAGTACAGGGACACGATGGCTGCCCCAGTCCTGCTGGCCACGCTTCCAGCACCTATGCACACTTTGTTCCTCATTTTCATATTATTTCCACTTTTTTTTAATGCACATTATTTAAATATTACTTAATATCTAATATAGAGCCAAAATAGCTAAAAAATAAAACATCATATTAATTTAGTGATTTATTTCTGCTCTGTCTTTGAACTATTTATTGGTATGACAGTCAGGAGCTGAGGCAATAAGATAAAATGAAAGAAATCGAAGTTAAAATTAAGATACTAGGGTATCCTTTGATATAGAGCAGTCAAATGGATTGGGCTGAATTCCTTTTAATCTCTCTGTTAAAGAATTACAAGATAATCTTGATGAAATCAGATGCACTTGGTCTCTTTTGGCCTAGATTACCAGGAGCCTGGCTCGCCCAGGGGTGACAAGCGCTTCTGGTCCTTTCTCACAGGGCGCTGCAGGACTTGCCAGGGGGAAGCCCCGCTGCCACCCGGCCCCGGGCTGCTGCCGCTGTAGTTGCCCGTAAGCCTTGTGGCTGTTTCAGGGGGAGCTTTTTGCTCCATTGCTGTTAGCGCTGGATTTTCGTTCGGTTTGTCATGGTGTTTGAGTTGCTGCCGCACCAGGAGCTGGAGCTCTGCGTTTACTTGATTTACCCTGAGGTAGTTGCTACTTGTTTGGTAGAGCAGACCTGGTGTTGTGGGGTGCATGCTACTGGGGAGATCTCAGTTATACCAGTTCCTGAAGGATTCACTGCTCCGGTGTGGCTTTCTGCCTCACATCCTTCTAATTTAACTGCATTAGTCTGTTTAATGGTGCCAGAAGGCCACGTATTGACTCCGTGAAGCCCCAGACTGTAGATGTGCACTTTTAAATAGTTAAATAAATGTTAATTATGATTCACGAACAGTTTTTCCCCAGCTATTAAGTAATATCAAACACTGAATTTTTCAAACAGTAATTGTTTTTCCAGCTGCTGAGCAAGACCGAGTATTCAGTCTTTTTAGAGAGTTATTTTTGCAGCTGCTCAACTGCTTTAAGCGTAAAAGTCTCATGTAATTTTGTAAGGCTTGACAGCCTTGGATGCACAGTGGGCAAAAGTTACTGAAAGTCTGTGGTGGAAGTGGAATTATGACAATCTTCTGGTGCACCTTGGTTAGCTGTGGATAGTTTGGGCTGCATCCAGATAAGCTGAAAATAGCATATTGGGCACTTTTGAAAGTTTGTGGTTTTGCAGCATTTTTCTCATAAAAGTCTGAAGTCTTTTTCTTTCTCACTGTGCTAGTTATTACGCAGGTGGAAATTAGCTATTTTTTTCCCTCTCAAGATCTTGAGACTTTCTGTAAGGAATTCAGACAGTGTGAATTATTTCATGAAATAACAGTTTGACTTGTTATACTTCCTTGTAAATAGTATAATACCACAGAATTTTGTCTTAGAAATGCATGTTGTGTACCTTTCCCTGGTAGGTCTTCAGAAGTTTTCAAATATCAATTAAACCACAGATCGTGATGATAATGGAAGAGACACGGTTCTCACCCACTAGCCTGGCTGTGAGTACATTGCTCACATTTGCCCAATGATTCATTAGCCAAGCCAGTAAAACAATCTAGGCGGTCTGAGGCAGTGCCTTACTGGTAGGTGTTCTTCAGCAGATTGCTCATTTTGACGTGATGCGTAGCACCATCAGAGCATTTACTTAGGAACTTACCTTTTTTGTGCATCTCTTTTCTCTGGTTTTCCCACCAGATCTGCTCTGCTGCCTCACAATGCCGCTGTTTGCATAAGCAGTTGCTGTAATTCTTTGAAGCTGTGGATAAGATATCTCCTTCTAAATATCACTGATGTGTTTTGATGAAGCTGTAGTTGTGAGCACAGGGTGCACAAACAAAGGACACTTAACAGTGAGAGCTAGGGAGGGGCTGATGTTGGTGGGGCAGAAGACCAAATACTGAAGGTTAAATTCTGTTTAATGTTCAGTTGTGTTGGTTTTTTAAGACAAAACAAAAAAGAAGCAGAATAAAAAGATTCTGCAAAGCAGAAGTGTGAGTGAAATGAAACGTAGTGGCTAGACAAATGAAAAAAATACATTCATTAAAAAGCCCACCAAACTTAAATTTCAAATCTCCAGTAGAAGAGGTGATCTGTCGGCCACCCAACTTGGACTGGGCACCCAACTGGAACTCATGGTCTGGGTTCAGTTCCCTGCCCTGGTCACAGGTTTCCTGTGTGTTCTCAGGCAACCTCCTTCATCTGCCCCATGACTGACTTCCTCATTTGTGCAGCGGAGATCATCCTCCTCCCATCCATCGTGAGGGTGAAGCCTACTGATGCTGCTGAAAGACCTGGATGTTGTGACGGGGGGAGCCAGCACAGAGATGAGAGCGAGAGGGATATGCTTCTTCGCAGGCCATAATTGCCTGTGCTGCTTGCATTTCAGTGTTCAGGAGCAGAAGAAATGATTCCCAGATCTAGAAGGGGCTCGGTTTTTTCTTTCCCAGCCCTTCAGGCCTGTTCCTTGTTGAGTTTGGCTGCCACAGTGCAGTAGCAGGCATTTGGAGTACTCTTGTCTCTCACCTTTCTCCTTTCAGTCTGTCTCCTCATTGCTTGGGTCGTTCCTGTCTGCTTGACACGCATGACCCACAGAAACCCAGTGGGATCAGAAACACAGCTTTGTCATCTCCCAAGTTACACAGAGATGTCTTGACATTTAAATATAGAGGTGTGTAAGAAAGAAACCAAAGAATGCTCGAGCATGGTCAGGAGATGACCCTAGTAGTTGAGGAAGGTGGTACGAGGGAGCAGACCATTGCCTTCCTGGCCCCCTGGCGTGGTGTGCCCTGGCACAGCGTTGTTGCCCTGCTGAAGTTGTCCAGAGAGCCCGGTACCACAGTTGCCCTTTAGCCCCTC